GCCCTGAGCTAACATCCATGCTAATCCTCCTCTTTTTGCTGAGGAAGACCGGCTCTGAGCTAACATCTATTGCCAATCCTCCTCCTTTTTTTGTTTTTTTTTCCCCAAAGCCCCAGTAGATAGTTGTATGTCATACTTGCACATCCTTCTAGTTGCTGTATGTGGGACGTGGCCTCAGCATGGCCGGAGAAGCGGTGCATCAGTGTGTGCCCAGGATCCGAACGCGGGCCGCCAGCAGTGGAGTGCGCACACTTAACCGCTAAGCCACGAGGCCGGCCCAATCCATCTCATTTTTGATACATTTCAAAGTTGCAGGCATGAGAATACTTCCCACAGACACTTCAGCATGCATACCATGAAGTAGAATTCATATTTGTTTCTAGCTCTTTTTCTTTGGAAGTAAATTACATGCTATGCACACATCTTAAGTATACATTTGCTGAGTTTTAACAACTGCGTACACCTGTGTAACCCAAACCCCCATCAAGGTCTAGAACATTGCCACCAACCCAGACCATCCCCTCCTGCCCCTTCCCAGTCACTCCCCACTCCCACCCCCTAAGAAACAGCTACTGTTCCGACTTTTTTCACTTTAAGTTAGTTTTGCCTATTCTAGAACTTCATATAAATGGAGCCATTCAGTATTGCACTGTTTCTAGCTTTTTTCAGTCGGGGCTGTCATTTGTTTCCCTTGTGGTGCAAATGTACACTGAGGCCCAGAGAGGTGAAGGGACTCTTCTGGGGTCAGCCAGCACCTAGCTGCTGGAACCCAGGCCTCCTGGCATCCAGTCTGCACGACACAGCCTCTCTAACTGCCCCCACAACTTCTTTCCACAGGGAGAGAGGCTGAGCCACGCTGTGGGCTGTGCCTTTGCAGCCTGCCTGGAGCGGAAACAGCGGCGGGAGAAGGAATGCGGGGTCACGGCTGCCTTCGATGCCAGCCGCACCAGCTTTGCCCGTGAGGGCTCCTTCCGCCTGTCTGGGGGTGGGCGGCCTGCTGAGCGAGAGGCCCCCGACAAGAAGAAAGGTGGGTTGGGCACAGAGTGGGCCCTGGGTGGGGCCAGGGGACCCAGTTTGCAGAGAGAGCTGCAGAGGTGCAGGGACTCTACAGTTTACAAAGCAAGGCACCAGCCACAAAGTTTGATTACAGTTTATAGAGCACCCTTCTGTTTAAGGAGTTCTTTGGGCGATTTTCTGTAGGCCACAAATCCTGGCAAAGCTCACCGAGCGCTTTATTATCTGCTAACTCAGGGAGGTTCCCAGGCTTTTCAGACTCTGTATCAAGACCTGTTGATGGGTTGTGAAGTTAGCTTGCTGAATGGAGGCTGGCATTTTGAGAAGTGGAATAGGAAAGAATAGAAAATACCAGAGTAATCGAGTGTAGTAAGGGTGAGGATAATTTAATGATACTTTTATTTCAGTATATATATTTGTGTGTGGGGGGGTATGTTTGTATGTGTGTGTGTGGAACAGGTTCCCATGTAAAAGGTATTTCTTACTCTGGGCCACCATCAAGAAAGTTTGGAAAATATCTGGTAGACTCTAGCATTCTAGGTAAATGGCAAATACTCTATAAGTTCTAAAACTGTGTGTGTTTTTTTAATATAAGGGTATTATGTGCTGAATCACAGTGTAATTCATTTTATTTTATTTATTTATTTATTTTACTGTGGATTCCGGTTTTAAGTTTTTTGGAAAACACTGCTTGGAATATACAAAGGATTTGCCATCGTGAGCTGTTCCAGATTAAAGAGATTTGACAAGGATTGATAAATGCAATGTGTGATCCTGAATTGGATTCTGGATTATATGTATATATATAAAAAGAACATCTATAAAGGACGTGATTAGGATAGCTGGGGAATTGGAATATGGACTGTAGATTAGGTGATAGTATTGTATCCATGTTAGCTTTCCCAAGTGGGAAATTGTACTGTGGTTCTGTAGGAGACTCTCCCTGTTTTCAGAAGGTACATGCTGAAGGTTTTAGGGTTGAGTTGTCTGCCACTTACTCTTAAATGGTACAGAAAAATGATGGAAGGAGAGAGAGCAAATACAGTAACATGTTAACACTGGGGACCACAGGTTACAAGAACCTGTGTACTCATTTTTCCATTATTACATGTTTTCTGTAAGTTTAAAATATCTCTAACCATCAAGTTAGGAAAACAGAAGTTTTTATCACTTACTAGAATATTAGAGTTGACAAAGTATGTTTTTATTTGTAAATTACATGGCCATTTACAAACCTCTTTACAAAGTTCTTCACAGCTTACAAAATGTTTTACTGTTTGCATCATCCATTAGAATCTGTAAAGAATTTTATCATTGGCAAAGCAGATTACAAAGTGAAGTTAGCAGAGGGCCTCATAGAGTATATGATGTTTTACTGTTTACAAAAGAACACACTGGGTACACAGCCCTTCACAGTTGACAAATATTTCTTTACTATTTATATAGGACATTAGAATTTACAAAGAATGTGTCATATGCTTTAGAATTTGCAAATGGTTTTGCTGTTTCCAAAGGATGTTATAATTTCCGAGTACTTGCATTGTAGAAAGCACTTTACAGCTTGTACAGCAAAATGAGAACTTGCAGAATGTGTTATGATTGGCCCGACATCTCACACACTGTTTTGCCGTTGATATGCGCTGATTCACAGTCTCAAGGCCCCACACATTTACAAAGAGCCCTTTCCAATTTAGGAGTTATGGAGCAGTGCACTTGCCACAAGGTTGTTTACTAAGCTTTTGTCAGCTTCGAAAGCACTGAACATTCACTGTTTCAACTGACCCTCTCAGGAGGCCTGGGGAGGCAGCGTGGGATGTGTATCCCAGGTTTATAGTCGGGAAAGGAGCCCAGAGAGGGGAGGGGACTTCTTGAGGTCACTCATGAGGTGGAACAGAGGTGGTTTCCTGGTTCCACCTGTCTCCAGCTGTTTCCACAGCCCCGGGCCAGGCCTGGGTGAGAGCCTTACCACCTCCACCCAGAAGATGGGAGAAGAAATGCTGGGTGACCTCCCTCCCGTCTCTGGGCCTGAGTTTAATCTCACCGGCATTCAGGCTAAGGCTCGGGTGTGGCCCTGATTGGAGGATCGGGGTTGGTTTGTGTATTGGCAGGGGTGGGGAGACCCTGCCATAGAAGAGCTCGCCTCTGTGCTGAGTGGGGAGACCAGGTACCCCCAGAGTGGAGGGATCCCACTCTGAGGGGCTGGAACAATCTGGAAATCTCCCCAGAGGAAGAAATGTGCCAAGCTGGGTCTAGAACGATGGGTAGCAACTGGAGGAAGGGAGGAGGTGCTTGAGGTGGGAAGTAGAGCCAAAAAGAGCACACAGAATGACAGAGGAAGACAGCATGGTGTGGAGAGACCAGGCCAGAGGGAGAGACAGGTTAGAGCAGTCATTTGGACACAGACACTGGAGTCACCCTGCCTCTTTCTAGCACTGTGGCTCAGGCAAGTCACTTACCATTGCTGGGCCTTGGTTTCCACATCTGTAAAATGGGGATAATGGCAGTATCCACCTCACTGGGTGGTTGTGAGGACTGAGTGAGTTAATACTTATAGGGCCTTGGAACAATGCCTGACACATTGGTCATGCACCAAAGAAGTGTTCGTTAAATTAATCAGAAAGGGAGACACAAGGTCTCAGAGGGAAAGATTGCAGGAGCAGCAGAGGAAGACAGATGGGGGCAGAAAGCTAGAGAGACACAGGGGTCAGGTTGAGAGATGACTCCCCAAGGGCCTCCTGGGGGAAGTGGTCTTGGCTTGGATGGGGATGAGGGACATTTCAGGGCTCTGACCAACCTGTCTTGAGGGCAGGACACATCAGGTGAGGAAGGCAGCACTGAAAACGATCAAGTGACTGGGTGGGAGAGGCCTCCAGTGCCAAGGAGAGGAATCTAACCACTTGTCTCCCCTACGTCTCCAGCAGAGGCAGCAGCTGCCCCCACTGCGGCTCCCGGCCCTGCCCAGCCTGGGCACGTGTCGCCGACACCGGCCACCACATCCCCTGGTGAGAAGGGTGAGGCAGGCACCCCAGTGGCTGCAGGCACCAGTGCGGCCGCCATCCCCCGGCGCCATGCCCCCCTGGAGCAGCTGGTTCGCCAGGGCTCCTTCCGTGGGTTCCCAGCGCTCAGCCAGAAGAACTCGCCTTTCAAACGGCAGCTGAGCCTACGGCTGAATGAGCTGCCATCCACGCTGCAGCGCCGCACCGACTTCCAGGTGAAGGGCACAGGTGAGCCCTGGGCTCAGTGGGAAGGAACATCAGGATCAATACCACTGTTGTAAGCAAGAGCTAGAGAAGAGGTGGTACACACCATGATTGATGAGCACTGTCTGCCATGGGCAAAGGAGAGAGAGGTGGAACACATCGTGATGAATTAGCAGTGTCTGCCACTGGCAGGGGAGAGGAGAGGTAGTATAAATCATGATTGATTAGCAATGTCTGCTATGGGCAAAGAGTAGCAGAGAGGTGGCACAAGACATGATCACTTGGTAATGTCTGCTCTAGTTAGGGAAATGAAAGAGGTGGCATACATCATGATTGATTAGCAAAGTCTGCCATGGGCAAGGCACGAGAGAGAGCAGCAGGAGTGTTATGTTTTGCCCAAGGGGAGATGCCAGAATTTGGCCAGTAGAAACATGAGGTGAAGGGCACAAGTGAGCAGGGGGATCACGGGGTCAGTGAGCATAGTGATGGATTCATGATGTCGCTTGTGGGCAAAGGATGGGGCAGAGGCAGCACCCATCCTCGTTGATTAGTCATGTCTTCCAGGGACAGTAATGAGGAAAGAGGTGGCACCTCCTCATTGATTAGCAATGTCTGCCATGGGCAGTGACAGGAGAGAGATGGTAGAAATGTCCTATTTTGCATGGAGGGAAGATGGAGTTACAAGAACCAGTCTTTTCTTCTACCCTTTGGCCAGTAGAGCCATGAGGTCTGGCCAGGTAAGGGGTAGAATGAGCAGAGTTTAGTTGGAAAAAAGCATCGTGTTTAATTACTAATGTCTGCCAAGGGCCAGTAAAAGGAGAGAGGTGGCATATGTCATGATCTAAAAGCAACGTCTGCCAGGGGAACGGGGGAAGAGAGGTGGCACGGTACCATGTTTTGCCTGAGGGAGACAGGCAGGAGGGCTGTCTGTCCTCCCAGCTGTCAGTGAAGTCATGCGGTCTGGCCTGCCCTCCTGCTTCCGTATGCCGAATCTAGACATCTACCTCATGGCCTCGGGGACTGGTGTAGGAGGTGTTGGTCTGCATCCAGGAGGCTGGGCCACTCCAAAAGGTGACTGCTGAGCAGATGCCAGCGCTTGTTGTGAATGATGCATCCTCACTCTGTGTCCTGCAGCATCACTGGCCGTCACACACCCTCAGATGTGCTGTCCTCATGCAGCCTCACCCCCAGGGCTGTCACACATGCTCCCGGAGAGGTGGCAGTCTCCCCAGGCTTTTTTGGAAGCTTCACACTACTGTAGCCAGTGACACACTTGTTTGGCTGTGACTCGCCACACAGAAATTTCAGACTCACACAGATGTCACCCTCTGCCGCAGGTGTCACACTCAGAAGTCACACACTTAGAGTCATGTGCACTCAAAAATCACACACACTTGGAAGTCGCACAACCAGATGTTACCGTTACACACGCTTAGCACATATCCAGATGTCCCACTCAGAATCACACCCCCAGATTTACACACACACAACCACACCTGGATTCACGCAGACTTGGAAGTCACACATGCAGATTTGTGCACACTCGCCAGCATACTCATACATCACACAGGCAGATTGGCTCACTTGTGAATCACATTCAGAACGACACACACCTGGATTTCAGTCACACTCAGATGCCACACCCTCAGAAGCTGCACACCTGTTGGACTAACATGCACAGTCCATCACAGAATTGACCTGGAAACCGCTTACCCTCCCACCTGGGCACCCCACGTCACACCTGCTGACTCCTACCAGTTTCTTTCTGATATGCTCCCTTGGAGACAGCCACTTGCTGAGATGTCACAGGCCCTTGTCACACACCACACTTGGCGGTCCTCTGTTGTTCATTCAAATGGTACCTTTGGTCATCCCAAGCCCTCGTGAGGCCACCACACCTGCTCAGCGTCTTCTGTTTTGCTGGCACAAGTGCATCTCTGCGCTCATGATGTGTGTTATAGGCCAGGCTGGGTTAGGTGGACGGGGCCCCACTTCTCCACCCAAAGCAGGACAGATGGTCCCCAGCCAGTGGGTCTCACACCCATGTGGCCAACATCCATTCTCACTAGTCCATGCTCTTGCCATGCACATGGTTGAACATACTTTTAAATTAATATACGTTGTTAAACATTTTAAATATTTCTTCTGCTTTGTGGCTGTGCACAGATCTTGAGGTCCTCCTCGGCTTGGGGTCGCTGTAAGTGTCAGCCATCAAACGTCACACACTACTTGGCTGTTGTACCACTCAGATGTCACACACACATGCACAGAGTTATCCTTTCTCTGCAGAGTGGACACTCTGACCCACACACCTTGTGAGGGCAAGGGCTCCAGGTCCTAAGAGAGGGCCTCCTGAGGGCGTGGGGCCAAGGGCAGGGCCTGGGCCTGTTCTGACCTTTGCCCTTCCCTGACTTCCCAGTGCCTGAGATGGAGCCTCCTGGTGCCAGTGACAGCGACGGCATCAATGCTCTGTGCACACAGATCAGCTCATCTTTCGCCAGTGCTGGTGCACCAGCCACAGGGCCACCGCCAGCCTCGGCAGGTAAACTCAGCTCTTCTACTGGGGCAGACACCCTGCAGTGCCCTCCTGCATCCCCCTCTCCATTCAGGGCTACCTCAGAGCCCCCAGGAATCTGGGAATCCCACAGGCTTCGAGCCATGGATCATTTTAGAGCTACGGCATCATCCTAGAACCATGGAATCACTTTAGAACTGTGGATCGTGTCAGAGCCATGGGGTCATCTCAGAGCCGTGGGTTCATCCTAGAACCGTGAGATAACATTAGAACCATGGGACTAATTTTAAACCTTCCTGTCTTAGAACCATAAAATCTAGAAACCTACAGCCTTAGAATCAAAGGATATTAGAACCTAACAGATTTGGAACCATGAAACCTTGGAACCTCACAGCTTTAGAAGAGTGCTCTCTGAGAAACATGGTGTGATGGAATCATCTAGAGCTATGGGATTATCCTAGAACCACGGAAGCACCACGGATCACAAACAATATAAATTTAGAACTCTAGAATCTTAGAAAACACAAACATGAAGCTGTTGAACCTTACTCGGTATGTTATATAGTACACTCCAAGAATGATCCATGCAATCTCAGAATCTTAGCCTTCTAAAACAGAACCTCATTAAAATATCAGGACCAAGGGTGATATTAAAAATATTTAGTAACAGGGGGCCAGCCTGGCGGCATAGTGGTTAAGTTTGCGTGCTCTGCTTCGGCAGCCTGGGGTTCACAGGTTCATATCCCAGGTGCGGACCTACTTACCACTTGTCAAACCATGCTGTGGTGGCATCCCATATACAAAATAGAGGAGGATGGGCACAGATGTTAGCTCAGGGCTAATCTTCCTCAGCAAAAAGAGGAGGATTGGCAACGATGTTAGCTCAGGGCTGATCTTCCTCACCAGAAAAAAAAAAATTTGGTAACAGGTTTGGCACTGACCAGTCAGAAGGGCATCCAGGCCAAGTCATTGTCAGTCTTCCCTATGCTTTTCCATCTTAGGACCTTGGAATGTCAGAACTGTATCTTCCTAGCACCGTGGAGCCATTGTGTGGTCCAGGATGGTTAAGCCATTTGCCCAAAATCAGCACAGCTAGTGAGGAGCGGAGCTGGACTCAGGGCAGGCAGCGTGGCTCCAGAGTCTGATCCCCAGTCCAGGGTTCTTTCCGCCGTAGCCCAGGCCCCTCACCTGCCCCTCTTCTCTCTCCAGGGACTTCTGCTTGGGGTGAGCCCTCCGTGCCCCCTGCAGCTACCTTCCAGCCCGGGCACAAGCGGACTCCGTCGGAGGCCGAGAGGTGGCTAGAGGAGGTGTCCCAGGTGGCCAAAGCCCAGCAGCAGCAGCAGCAGCAGCAGCAAGCAGCCTCGGTGCCCACCGTGGCCCCTGTCCCGCAGCCCTTCCCTGCCCCCGTGGGGCCCTTCGATGCCGCGCCTGCCCAGGTGGCCGTGTTCCTGCCGCCTCCACACATGCAGCCCCCTTTCGTGCCCGCCTACCCAGGCTTGGGCTACCCGCCCATGCCCCAGGTGCCCGTGGTGGGCATCACACCCTCACAGATGGTGGCCAACGCCTTCTGCTCGGCCGCCCAGCTCCAGCCCCAGCCCGCCACCCTACTTGGGAAAGCTGGGGTCTTCCCACCCCCTGCCGCGCCCAGTGCCCCTGGGGGCCAGGCCCGCCCACGCCCCAATGGGGCCCCCTGGCCCCCGGAGCCAGCACCCGCCCTGGCCCCCGAGTTGGACCCCTTTGAGGCCCAGTGGGCAGCGTTAGAAGGCAAACCCGCTGTAGAAAAGCCTTCCAACCCCTTCTCGGGCGACCTGCAGAAGACCTTTGAGATTGAACTGTAGCCCGAGCCACCCTGCCCACCCGTCATCTCCAGGTGCCCCACGCCTGGGAGTGGAGGCGCAACCTCTCCCCTAGTCCTACTCCGACACCCCCTCTAACCCTTCTTTTGACCACCCCCCACAACCACTACAGAACCAACATTGTGACACCCAGGTTGCGACAGGATGGAATTCAGGGACGGACCCAGCCTGGCGAAGGGACCAATTTCACTGCCGGACTTAGGCTGGCAGTGCCCCTCTCCCCCCACCCCAGACGCAGGGGGATGGCCATAGTCCCACTGAGTGCCCTCCGTTCAAGTTACGTTTCCCAATTTCTGTTATTGACCTTCCACCTTCCAGTATTGGGTGGGATGGAGGAGGGGACTCTCCTGGGCCCCACACCAGTGCCCACCCCAAGTCTGGTGGTCCCCCCCACCCATACACAGCACAAGCAAAGGGCTTCCCTCTGCCCACCTGCTGCGTTCACTGCCAATGCTGTGCTCACCCCTGTCGCCCCTCCCCCCAGCGTGGGGGGCCCACATCTTCCTTGGGCCAAGGTCTCATGGGGGCAGGAACCAAGTTGGGGGCCCAGGAGGCGGGGTAGGGGGAAGGGGAAGGAGATGCCGTTACCTCACGTCAGTGCCCGCTGGGGAGGGGTCCGGGGGGACGGGGGGTGCCTGGCGGGTACTTTTCTATCTTTTATTTCCAGATTTTTTTGTATCTAAACTTGCAGATTTGTATTATACAAGGACAGCCAATAAAGGAAGAATATAACGGTGCCCTTCGGGAGAGCAGGGTGTGTGTCCAGGGGGGTGTGGTGTGGTGACAGCCTTTCCTCCTGGGTCATCTCCTAAAACGAGGGAGCTCCCTGCCTGACCTCTCAGTCCTAACATGGGAGCAGGTAATGTGGACCCAGCACTTGAGAGATGGCTCTTAAAGGGCACCCAAAATTACTCACCCCATTTCTGATTCTTACCAATTTTGAACCAAGGAATTTAAAAAATTATAATCTCCTGCTAATAAGTTCAGTATTTTAAATAATCGAGTTTGGAATAGTATATCTCTGAGCTGCCTGCCAATTCCTGTTCTGTCAGTTGCATTTTCCATAACTTAGGCCAAAGTGTCATCTGATGTGGCAGCATGTTGTTTTAAAGTCTCTCATTGTTTCTTGGGTCCCTGGATATAATCTACAAGTTATATATTTTTAAATATGTAATATATAAATTATATGTTTAATTCGTTATAGCTGTTTAAAATGAGGTGATTGATTTTGTGAAACCCACTGTTATATCCCCATTTGATGGATGGGGAAGTTGAGTCATTTGCCCAGGGTCACACATCTGATTAGGGGGGAGCTGAGATTCAAACCCAGCTTCTGGCTGACCTCAAGGCCAGTCATTAAACCAGCAGGTTGTGATTAACAAGCTGAGAGTCTGCCCTCAAGAGTTCACATTACAGCCCATCAGCCAGCTGTGGATCCTGGACCAGGAGATCTGTGACACAGCTCTGCCAGGGCACCCAGGGGATCCCCAGGGAGGGAACAAAGAATTTTGCTAGAAGTAAGCCACACTCTCATCTCCAAGCCTTTGCAGATGCCATTCCCTCTGCCTGGAAGACCCTTTCCTGATACTGCACCTTCTCCCAGAAGAATGCTACTCATTCTTCAGGCCTCAGTTCAAATATCTCCTCTTTTTAAAAAAGTGGAGCCTCTTCCAAGGCCCGACACCCCCCCCCCCCATCCAATCCTTTCAAACGTTAGACAGCCCTTCCCCCCTTCAGGCTGAATCAGGAGCACGGCCTCCCCACCTGGATCCTGCAGGGCCCTGTGCTTCCCCCATCCTGGCCCTAGCTCCTCTGCCTGTTTCCCCATCCCAGTGCTGACCCATTCCGGGCTGTCACCATCTGGTCCCCACGGGACTGTGAGTGAGGGGTGAGTCTGGGGCTGTCTCCGTCACTTCGGTCTCCCAGCACAGGGCCAGGCACAGAAGAGGCAATCTCAGCAACTGACCTCTGTAAACCGCTGGCGAGTGAGAGGGGCAGAAAGGGCCTAGGACTTCCGCAGAGATGATGCGAACTAAAGGACTCATGGAGAAACTGAGGCCACGCAGCACACAGAAAAATCAGGGACAGAGTCAAGCTCCTCTTCCCTGCCAGAGGCTGATCTTCACACACAAGCATTCTTCCCTGTGCCGGAGGGGTTTTCCTCAGAGCTCCCCCGATGGCAGGCCCCGGAGATGCAGACGTCTGGTCCCGCGGAGCTCCACAGACCCGTTATCTCCGAGGACCTCCCACGGCTTCTCTAGGCCAATTTCCTCGTCTTCCCTCCCACGCCCAACGGAGACTCTCGCTCTTCGGGATGCTTCTCTCTCCACAGAGACCATAGATCTGGGGTTCACCCCACACCCTCCACTTCCCCAAGCTTCGGCTCTCTCACAATAGACCCAGGGACGCGGAGTTAATACCCTCGCCCTGCCTGGTGACCTCGTCCCACCTAACGCCACGTGCTGCACCCCACCCCCATCTAGGTCATTTTGAGGGGATGTCCGGCTCAGGCAGGCTCAGCACCCCCTGTCCAGTTCTCTTGGGAAAGCCCCGCCCACCCCCACAGCAGGGCCCCCCGCGCCCGCACCCAATCCACGCAGGCCGACGTGCAGCGCCCCCTCTTTCCCGCGGTCTTTGAAAGCTCTGCACCCCGTCGGGGCCCCACCCCTCGAGGCGCCCTGTCTCCAGGAACCACCGGGCAGCGACGGCTACTTTGGAACGTTCCACGCAGGCGAGTGCCTAGTGCCCCGCCCCCTTTCCCGCGCTCTTCGGAAAGCTCCGCCCTGCGCTGCAGCCAAGGGGCGCCCCGCCCCTCGAAGCGGGGGCGTCTCCCCGGGCCGGTCTACGCGGGACTAGGGACAGCCCCCACCGCGCCGGCGTCCTGCTGCTCCCCGGGGCGCCGCCTCCACCGCCCTGCGCAGGGCCACACGGAAACGTCCCCCCCAAAACAACCCCTCCCGACACGTCCCCCCGACCTCTGGCCCCTCCCAGGCCACGTGGATCGCTGGAGAGACCCCGCGAGCGCGGGAGAACAGCACCCCCTTGTGGCCCTGTCCTCGGGAACTCGCGCAAGGGCCGGATTTCAGGCTCTGGAGGAGAGACCCGTCAGGCTGATGCTGAGGCAGAAAAAGTGTAAAAAAAAAAAATGGCGTCACAGTTGTGAACCGCTTTATCCTTCAGGCTCTGTCTCAGCCGTTCGCTCCTCTAGGAAATCTTCCCTGACTCCTCCCACCTGGATCGGGAGCCTCCACTGGGCTCCTACGGTCCCCTATGCTTCCCCGATCCCGACCCTGACCCCTCTGGGCTGCCACCATCCAGGGACAAGGGCTGCCCTGGTCACTACTGTGTCCCCGGGATCGCCCAGGGCAGGGCACAGAGTAAGGCTCAGACGACCCGCAGGGCGCCTCCCAGGGAGCATTCATGTACACCCTTAACACATATTTTGCTTTGTTTTGTTTAACAGTTTTATTGAGGTAAAATCATATCATAAAATTCACCTGTTTTAAGTGATTTAGCGATTTGGGGTCATCTTACAGAGTCGTAAAGCCATCACCACAATCCAATTTTAGGACATTTCCATCACCCTAGAAAGATCTCTTGTGCCCACTCACAGTCAATTCCCATTCCCATTCCCACCCCCAGCCCCAGGCAGCCACTGATCTACTTTCCACCATTATTTATTCTTTTCTTCACTTTAGAAGCATTTTCGGAATACTTGCTTCTCTCAGGTATTGAGTGCTGAGGATACGCAATGACATAGACAGGCCCTGCCCTCGGGGACCTGAGTCTGGTTGGGGCGATGGCTAATGCAAAAATATGTCCAGTCACCCAACCATTCATTCAAAACTAAGTCCCCGGGGGCGCGGTGGCATAGTGGTTAAGTTGGTGCGTTTCACTTCAGCGGCGGGGTTTGCGGGTTCGGATCCTGAGCACGGACTTACTGCTCATCAAGCCATGCTGAGGCGGCATGCCACATAGAAGAGCTACAGCTCTACAACTATGTACTGGGGATTTGGAGAGAAAACAGAAAAAGAGGAAGATTGTCAACAGATTGTTAGCGCAGGGCCAATCTCCCCCACCCCCCCAAAAAAAACAAGTCCTGAGCACGGTTGTGTACCGGGTACTATTCTAGGCCCTAGGGATATAGAAGTGGGAGAAAGCAAAGGCAAAAATCCTGCTTGGCTAGAGGTGATAGTCCAATGAGAGGACAAAAAAATAAGATGTAGATATGTGATTTAATGGCTGGTTGTGAAAAGTACCATGAAGAAAATAAACCAGGGGAGGGGATAACAAGTGATGGGGTGGGCTTTTAGACAGGGTAGTCAGGGACCACCTCTCCGAGGAGGAAACATTTGATCAGAGACCTGACTGAAGTGAAGGACTCATGCCCATATCGGAGGGAACAGTGTTCCTGGCAGAGGGGAACAGCCAGGGCAAAGGCCCTGAGGTGGGAACGAGCTGCAGGTTGGAGGGCTGGAATGTCATGAGGGTTGGGGAGGGCAGTGAGAGATGTAGTCAGGGAGCACAGACGGCCAGGTCAATAGGGCCTTGGAAGCCACAGGAAGCGTTTGCCTTCTGGTCTGAGAAGGATGGGAAGCCACTGGAGATTTTCAGCAGGCGAGCGACATGATCTGATTTACATTTTATAAAGGTTCACTCTGACTGCAGTGAGGAGAATGGATTATGGGGTGGCCAGGAGGAGGAAGCGGGTCTGGATGAGAGGTGCTGATGAGGTGGTCTAGGTCAGGAGCAAAGGGGCTGGAGACAGCATGAATCAGGCTGTGATCAGGAGATAAAATCAAGGTATAAGTCAGGGACATTAGTGGATCATTCAGGGAAATTCGTATATGGCATGTAGTATTGTATTAGTATTAAAGTTTCCAGGTGGGATAACAGCATTGTTGTGGTGCAGGAGAATGTCCTTGTTCTTGGGAGATGTCTGCTGAAATATTAGGGGTGACGTGTTGCAGAATGACTCAATTCTCAAGTGAATCTCTCTCTTCCTATTTGTATCTATCTGTAGATATCTATATATAAATCTCTCTATCTCTCTAGCTAC